TAATACAACTTAATTTTTCACATCATGCTTACTTTGAAGTAAGATTACACGGAATCCTTATTACTAACTAGAAGCTTTGATTTAAAATTCTCCAGCAATATTGTTCAGTACATTATTTTATTTATATCATCTGAACAATGATTAAATTTAGATTAATACAATTTTAAAATTTACAGTGTGTTTCAAATAAACTTCATTTCAATTTTGCAGTTTTGAAATCTAATCTTTGTGATTAATAAGTGAAAATTTCTTTGGTGCACAGGTAAAAAATTGCAACAATAGAATAAATAAGAATATACATCATGTATTACAGCACATTTTGATACATACAAGCAAAAGCAGTCACATATATGTAAAAAAAATTAAGCTGTAAAAATACAAAAATAATAGTACTTACATATTAGTGAGCCACTTTAGTAGAAGTTGCCAAATTTTCAGACTACGGCAAACTTCACCAGCTATGTGCATACAAATTTTTAAGTTTTAAAAAGAAGTTATGCTTACTTGGAATGTTAAAAAAAAAAAAAAAAAAAAAAAAGGTTTGAAAATAGTAAGTGCTTAAGTTAACTTTTACTACTTTCATACCTTTTTTTTTTTTTTTTTTTTTTTTTTGTTGTTGTTGTTGTTACATTTCAAGATCCAATGGTTTTTATGATAATTTTTGTCTTAAATACAGTTTTAAAATATGCACTTGTGGAATTTGTTTGCAGTAGAAGAAACTGCACTAAGATTTTTACAGAAATACCTATTTGGACTCAAAATCACTAAAGGGATTTATGCTTTGAATTGAAAGTGATCATCATGAAATTTCTAAAAAAAGAAAATAATGACTTCCCCCCAAAAAAACTACTAAGATGGTTGAGCTAATATGCAAGCACCATAATAAGAACTATAATTGTGCCCTTTAAATATGATTGTCTACAGTGTAAACAGCAATGAGGAAAAAAGGAAAGGTGTATCATAAAATTTATAAGCATTGACAAAATTTTATTTTACATAAAATTCATAAAAATTAATTTGAAAATTAGAATTTGCATTTACTATCTGCAACATGAAATTCTTAAGTAGCTAAAAGTTATAAACAATCATCAAATGAGAAAGCACTCATTATTCACAATGTAAGATGATAAGATTTCAGCAACTATTTCTATATACAAAATATCAAAAATAAAAAATTATACAATTTTTCAAAGATAGGTACAATAATATCATTAAATTACACATGAAAAAATATATAGCAATAACAATTTTATCCAAATTACAAAGGAGGAGGTTGAATACAGAAAAGGAGAAAGGATTTGGAACTATATGTATATATATATATATATATATATATTCCTCATTTCAAATTAAATAAGAAGACTATTCTAATTAAATTAAAGTCAGGCGGCTACAAATATTTGGGATATTTTATTTAATTTATTTTAAAGATTTCCCTCTCCTGTTTCTAGAACAGAAATTAACGTCTTCATTTGGTGGAGTAATCTGGGAGACATTTTTGTCTGAATGGAGAGACATGTCTTCTAGATAATGCACTGGCATTAAGAAGTTGGATCTTTGACTTAAAGAAATAAGATAACAAGTTGTCATCATTACGTTCTATTAATATTAAATCTAACACTGAACACAAAATTAAGCTATGAGGAAATACATATTCCCCAATTTTTGCATAAATAAACAATAAGCTAAAACATATTAATTATAACAAACAGAAACAAACGATCTTTGGCATAATGAAATGTTTTCTGAAATTCAAGCCTTGATTTTATGCAACAATGGATATTAATTACTACAATACAATTCTAATAATTCACATACTCATGAACATATGGTTGTGGAGATTAGAGAATTTTTCAGATTACAGGTTATGTCTTCATGAATTTTGTTTACATTATAAATTATTTACTCTTATTTATAATTATTTACTCTTACTAAATTAATTAAATCTGCACTGTTTACAACAAATAAATAACTAAATTACATCTTAATAATTTTTTAATCAGCATTTATTGAACACAAAACTGTTATAGGCTTTTAACAGGGTTGCCACTCAAAAAGCAGAATGAAATTCCCTGACTTTTCCAGGTGTGTTTTGAAAAAATTCCAGTCTATCCGGATAGTGTGCGTTGACTGCGCTGAGAGGTAAATTAATTATGGTACCATTTGAAAACACAAAAATTTGCCAATTGCATATGACTTATTATATATATATAATCCTGAAAGCTATTATAACTATAATAGGAGTTGTTTTCTCCACTGAAGATTGAGATTAGAATCTGCCCAATCTGGATTCAAAAATGAGTTTTTTTGCAGACATTTCGCAGCTAAACGAAAGAAAGAAATCTATTTAATGATATTTTAAAATAAATTCAGGTATTTTATATTTATTTAGCAGCCTACATAAGCAAAAATATGTGCATTCAAATTTCCTGATAGTGTCATGACACTGCTAGATTTATTTAGTTTAAGAATTATGCCAGAGAATTTTGCCTGAAATTTGAAAGTATTATTAACTAATAATAAATAAATTTAGAGGAAAGAAGAACAGTAAATGATATAAATAACATTAAAATGAAGTTAATTACTTAAAAATTGAATTACAATAATCAATGATATTTTGGCGAGTATAGTCATATTACGCGTTAGCCTAGATGACTGATTCTATTTTTTTATTTTACTGCAAAACGAATCATAATGTCGACAAATCCTATGTATACCATACATGAAGGTTAGGATAAAAAAACTTTTCTGCAACAGGAATGGCTCTGTCCCTACGTAGAGAGAAACAGCTGTGTATGCACAAAATATCTGTCGCCGAAGCTCGCGAAGTTCAAAAGTCAAGTTTATCAAAAGTACATAAAACGAATATCATTTTAAATTTCTTCAAACTTTAAAGGAAAAGAAAATATTGTTTCATGCGAGTAAATTAATTAATAATAGATTAGTTATTTGGAGCAAAAAAAATTATGAAAATCCAAGTATAAATTATTGCGAAGTCAACGTTTCTTCTAAACACATGCTTCACAATTTCCTGTACACATCGCGGAGGAGGAAATTCTCGCCGTCAGGTTTCGTCGTCAAATCCCTCAGGAAAATTTTCCCTCCGCTTTCTAGCATCACTATAGCAAACTGATTTACATTACCACCATGGAACCTTTCTTTCTTTACATAGACGTTCTTACATTAGAACAGAGTACATGGGGGCTATTCTAGCTTCCATGGTACCGCATATTAGGATTAAACCAATTTTGTTGTATACGAGAATGGGAAGGTATTTTTTTTTTAGTTCAACATGCACTGCACATGCAAGTCTTAGGATTCTCGAGGTTACTGGAAATTTTGCTTTGCCTTTCTAAAAGACAATCTGATTGGAGCTGCGAAAATTGGCTCTACGCCAGTTGCCCGAATGACGCTCATTCGATACATAATTCGCCAACAAAGTGATTGCTTCCAACGTTGGCGCAAAACTCGCTTTTTGGGGGATCACCGTATGACATTCCCTGACTTTTCCAGATTTTGACTAAAATATTTAAATTCCCTGACTTTTCCGCTCAATTTTCGAATTCCCTGGCCTTTTCCGGTTTTCCACGTAGCGTGGCAACCCTGCTTTAATACCTGTATATACAGAGAAAATAAGGTACTGTTCTATTATCAGGACCAAGGTACTATTCTGTTACCAGGGCCAGATTCAGAAATGTATGTATGAATGGATGGAAGTGTTCCTGTATGCATATATATATATATATGCAAGTATAAATGTATGTAGGCATATACATGTACACATATATGCACATCTGTACATACATTCATACATTTTTCAATCCGGTCCCGATAACATAACGGCACCAAAAATAATATCAGTACAAGGGGGAAGTGACAGAAGTGAAATTTTAGATTTATTAAAAGAAAATTTATTTACTTCATCCCTCGTTACCACATTTCTTATTTTTTTAACACTAGAAAAATTTCTATATGGACTATTTTCAAATCACTATTCCTGTGAACCAGCAATATAAATAAACTTCTCTAATGGAAAAAAACCAGTAATAATTTGCATTTGAGTTGAAGTTAAACATATCAAAAGTTTTGAATAAATATATTATTTACATATGTTAACTACATATATTCAATTTTTAATCAAAATATATCAGAATGCTTTTTTTAAAAAGTTGACTGGTTTTATGATTACTGTTAAATTTACCATAGTGAATTTTCTAAAACAAACAAAAGTTTTGTTTGTTGTATTCAACAATGATAATGAATTACAGGCATTCATGAATTAAAGAATTGCAGATTATCAGAGTTCTACTGTATTAACAGAATTTGAATATGATAAGTACTGATAAAATAAATAAATATGAAAACAAACATTGTAGAAACCACATTCATTGTACTGATGAAGAATAAGTAGACTCATGAAAATCTTATATTCTCATGAAATTCTTATATTATATATATATATATATGAAGAGAGGAAGATAAAAATTAGCAGTGAAGTCTAGCACAAACCATTGTTAATTTCAAAACAATTTTAAATATTTAATTTTACCAGCTTAAATTCACAGCAGTTCTTAATTACTTAAGGTACTGCATGGAATATTATGATAAAAACCTTCATTACATTTTTCTTATGCCTTTATGCTTTTAATTCTCAAAGGTATATAAGTAGAAGCCCAAGTGAGAAAAGTATTTAGAATTTGAATTTATAGAAATGGGTGCATATTGCTTGCATTACTCATAAACTATGTAAATTTGTATGAAATATGTAAGTGCTCAGTTAAATATAAAATTAGTCTATTATAACATAATAATTTAAAAGCACTGTGTAATATATGAATTCATAAAAAATGAATAATTATGGTAACTATTAAAATATCTTGATAAAATAGATAAAAGTAGCTGATGGTGCTGAATGATACCTAACATAAGGTTTCACTTAAGTGAAGACACTTAATTTTGGTTTAAAATAATATAAATTTCTTCTTATCTCAAATACATACCCATAGGACAAAATTTTTATGTCTTACATCTGATTTATCAAAATACACAAATAATCATTTTCTATCGTTTAGGATGAGAATAACCTTTGCAGATTTTACTAGTCATTTCTGCCTGTAAAAGAAAAATTTGTCAAATTATTATATAAATACAAGATTAATAAATCTTTAATTTCTCCCATGGAAAAATAAATACATACAATTTAAAGAAAAAAAAAATTGGTCTTTCAAATAAAAAATAATTTATTATTAAAAAAAATTTTTTTGAAAGTCTGTTTGCTTGGCTTAAGGCCGAACTTCACATTTCCTTAATGAGGTTATCAAATCTAGAGACGCATGACGCTAGGTGGGACAATTCCGAGAAAGAGATTCTGGTAGCATTGGTTTAAATGGGAGGGATCTCAGAAAAACCAGCTCCACTGGAAACGATGTTCTGCCTAGCTATACAAGCAATACTCTGGCTAAATGGTTTGCTTGTAGTAGTTGCATCCAGTGTAGATGTCAACCAATCAGATGAAAGTTCTGCTTCTGAAGGATCATGAGAAATTTTCATTATGGAGATGGCTGTAGTTTGAGGTCGTAGACAACAGAAATAGAAGCCAATTTTATCGAAAGAATATGAAAACCATATTTGGGTGCTTTACTTCTAAAATATAACTGTATAGTTCATTTTTAAAATGTTTATATACTGATACAATTTATAATCATGAAAATTTAACAGTAGAAAGTATTTTGACATTCTTGTATTTTTAATTTATGAATTTTTCATTGGCAAAAGTTTGCCAAGTTTAAAATATTTCATTCAAACCTATAAAGTACCGTATTGAAATATTATCAGTTATATAATAGAATTTTTTTTATTAACCCTTTCGGGACGAACGCCACAAATATGCGTCAGCACTAGATGCTCTTCAGAGCCTAACACCGCATCTTTGTGGTACGGCGAATCCTACACAATGGGACGATGGTCACGCAGTTGCGTCGTGCTTTTGGAACGAAATATTAACTACGTTACGTTTAATACATTACTAATCCCTGTTCCTTTCAAAAGATTGCTCTTGTACATTAGTATTTCTCTCTCTGAGGTCAGAATGGGGTCATCAAGTGTCTGTGATTTATTGAATTTTCGTGAATGTAAACATAATAACATGCTAGCCGATGAAAATGGAAACACGTGGCCTTTTAGCTCCTTTTGAAGTGGTTGTTTATAGTTTTGATTCTATTTTAGGATGGGATTTTATGGGAGATATTCTAGCATGGGTTTTTACTTTTAGATTTATTTGTGTAGCCACGGCTAAAAACCACGTTATCTTTCTGAGGAGAAAATATCTAAAGTTATGAATCATCAATCTATGGATCTTTCCAACAATGACAGTGAAACGACTATAAATTATTGTAGTATTCGTATAGTAGTTCTGAATCTTCAGATTCTGAATTAGAAGACGATAATAATTGAAATGTATGATTGAAATTATGCATGATAATAATGCAATGTTGGTCTCTGCATTGATGCATGCTTTGAGATTTTTCATAGGGCTTTGAAATATTACTTATTACAATATTCTTTATGTATTTCATAATGTTAAGTGAAAAAATTTTTAATTTTTTTTATTATTTTGTATAAACATTTAGTCTTTAATTTAGGTACTTTTAGTTATAGTACAATATATTTATATTTTTATTGTTAAATATCAATTATTTAAATGAAATTTTTTATGATTGAAATTATGATATCTATAATCACATATTTAAAAATGGTTTTATTTCTATGTAAAGTGTACATTTTATCCATTATTATGTAATGTGCGCTTTCCGATATTGCATATTAGGCTTAGTGGGAGAAAATGCTCTGGCCTGTAAGCACAGTCCATGTATAACAGCTCCCATCCTGAAGGAGAGCTATCTTTCACTGGCTGCTGTCCCGAATGGGTTAAATTTAAAGTGATTAATTTTTTTTTAAGTATGTTTATATATGTGTGACTTTACTTTTCTACTAATCACTTATTAACACTCTTTTAAATTAATTATTGCATAATCAATATCTTTTAAATTAATTATTGCATAATCAAACTTCTCTTTTTATGCATCAGTGATGCAAACAACATCACTGATGCATAAAAAGAGAAGCACTGCCTATGTAGTGATGAGAATACTTATTAAAACAAAAGTTGAAATTACTATTTAAAATACTAATTTAAATTCTCACTAAATTTTTTTCTTTTTTTCGTTCAAGGTTTTAAATTGAATTTGTGTTCCTTGGAGATGGTATATGGAAAGTTTTCTTATTATAAATAAATTAATTATTAATTATATTAATATATATATTGATGTAATTTAGTGTGTGATTGTTGAAGTTTATCAAAAGGAATTTAAGTAAAGGAATATATTATTTGAATATCATACCCAAAAATTTTTACGATTACACTTTATAAAAAGGCTCATTACTAGCTGAGCGATAAAATCATTGAACACTGGTAGTTCGGTCCATCTTTCCAATCCTGGCGAATGGTCTGACTGCATGGAGATTTTCGTGACTTTCCGCATGTGTACCGTGGATGCATAAGTGAATAAAGCAGGTGCAGCCTGAGTAAAATCGCTTAATACTGGTAGTTCGGTCCAACTTTCAAATCTCGGCAAAAAGGCTGGCTGCATGGGTGTTTTTGTGATTTTCCGCATGTGTAATGTGTATGCAGTATGTTGTGGATGCATATGTGAATACAGCGAGCGCAGCCCAGGTAAAATTGCTGAATACAGGTAGTTCGGCCCAACTTTCGAATACCGGCGAAATTTAACACGGGAACTCATTTAGATATGAACAATGGTAGTTCGATCCAACATTCAAAGGACAGCGAATGGGCTGGCTGCATGGGTATTTTCGTGATTTTATGCATGTGTATTGTGTCTGCAGTATTTTCTTGATGCATATGTAAATAAAGCTGGTGCAACCCAGGTAAAATCGATGTACACTGGTAGTTCGATGCAACTTTCGAATCCCGACGAACGGGGTGGCTGCATGGGTGTTTTCATGTTTTCCGCATTCGTAACGTATCTTGTGGATGCATAAGTGAATAAAGCGGATGACGCCCTAATAAAATAGCTGAACACTGGTATTTCAGTCCAACTTTTGAATGTGGGCGAAGGGGCTGGCTCCATGGGTGGTTTCGTGATTTTCCGCATTTGTAACAGGTATGGAGTGTCTTGTAGATGCATTTTTTAATACAGCAGGCTCAGCCCGCGCTAAACCGCTGAACACTGGTGGTTCGGTCCAACTTTCGAATATCAGAGAAATTTAACATGAGAACTCTTATACACACAATGAAAAGTGGGCTTGCCCACTAGTACTTATTAAATTTTTATGTTATTAATGAAATACTTTTTAGATTATAAATACATTAGAAACTATATTTTTACAGTAATTGCTACATACTGATATATTTCATACATATAGATTATGCACGATGAAAAACATTTGTATGTATATTCATTAATACACATCTTATTCATTACATTAATACTAATAAACATACTGTTACAAAACATACAGGCGCGGTAAGATGGCTTCCCCGCAAAGCAGCTTTTGGGTTGCCATATTTGGCGAGAAATAGCCCATTTGGCGATAAAATTGGCGATATACCATGGACAGTTAGAGAACCTTCTGGAACGAATTCTTACCGTTTTAGCCCAGAATGTTCTCGAACACAAGCCAAAAGCTATATAAACCCTGCTGGTCGGCAGTCAGTTAATGTGTGTGCCTCGTCTAGCGAGCTGATAGTTATTGAGCGAGTGTCTCGAAGTGTAGCGCCAAGGTGGTCATCAAGTGCATCGTCGAGTTTTGTCTTAGACTGTGCTAGCTATACTCTTGTGTATCGTCGAGTACATCGTGTGGAGATTCTCCAGAGTACGTGGAGTTCCGAGAACAACCAAGCAGAGTTGGGAGCTGTACTCAGGTGCTTAGCAGTGAAGCTGTCTCTACTGTTATTGCCTGACAGTGTGAAGGCTGTTTCACTGATTGCTCCAACGTGTTTATAGTAGATCTTCGACGACTGTAAAAAGTGTTATTGGAGCTGTCTTGATTAATATTGGCTAAATAAAGTGTGTTTCGATACTTCATCAACTGTCATCATTATTCACTCCAAATCCACGAACCATGTATGAACGTGATTGATGAAATAAACGCAACAACTGCTGTCAGAAAAGAAAAATCGCAACAACTGGTGTCAGGAGTGGGGTTTGCGAGTGAATGCCAATGATCCGCCTACAGAGGAAAGCCATGGCGGAGGAGATGAATACTTTGATGGACTTCTTAGACGAGATCATAGGCGAACAGAAGGAGTTGAAAGCCGGATTTGCTGAGATAAAGGCCGGGTGTGCTGAGATAAAGGCCGGATATGCTGAGATAAAAGCCGGATGTACCGAGATAAAAGCCGGATATGATGACATAAAAGCTGGATATGAAGAGATGACAGCTGATATGAAATCTGGACGAGAAGAGATGTAAGCTGGCCGAGAACAGGTGCGAAAGCAACTCCCACAGATGAAAATGGAGCTTGCGGAAGAAACTGGAGCCATAAAAGAAAATGTGGAAATGACTGAAGTGGCGTCTGAAGTATCAAAGGACGAAGAAATGAAGAAAGTAGCTAATGAACTGTCTGAGGAAGATCAAGAAATGAAGTATGAAACATTTAACAGGATTAAAGGAAAAGAACGAAAACTTGAAGAAACAAAAGATGGGAAAGAAGCTTTCGATTCTCAAGTGCCTGAAGTGGAAGAAAGTGAAAATGCGACTGTTAAGTTCCTCAAAACTGATAGTGAAGTTACGAAGTCGCAGGCAGTAAGTGTTGAACCATCTGAAAGTGCAAGTGATGCAGAGATGGGAAAAGCTGATGTACATTTAGGCAGAGTGCTCCAGTATTGCAAGAAAATTCGCCCACTTCGCAAACTATGTGTGCGTCTCATAGTGCGGATTTTGCGGACAAGGACTTGAGTCTAAACCAGGATACTAGTGTTTGTAAGGTATCGGGCTCCGTTCATGACTCTGATGCAGAATTTGAAGATGGTTTCCAGGAAACGGAGGAAAATGTGCATGTACCAGCTGCTGAAAATACCGATGTGAAC